TCTGTGTCCGTGTGAAGTTTGGAGCGATGAAACCATTCAGGACACCCAGTGTCTGTTCTTTCTCTGAGAACTGGCTGAGTACAACACTTGAAATAGCAGTGCATCTCTGTCTTGTTGTCTCAGCCCAGAGACCACAATTTAAGATCCACTGTCTTAGTGGGCTAATGAATCAGAACCCAATTGAAGAGTTGCAGTTGGACCAGCAGGGTGTTTTTTGTTGTTGTTGTTGTTGTTTTTGTTCTTGGTACTGGGGATCAAACTCGGGTCCTTGTGCTTACAAGGCAGGCAGCGGAACCACTGAGCTAAATTCCTGGCCCCCAGCAGGGTGTTTTGAGGCTCAATTGGAAAGAAAACATTGAACAAACTCTTAGCTTTCCAGTAACTCTCCCACTTTTGTGGATATATTTTAGTACACACACACACACACACACACACACACACACACACACACACGGGATGCATTTGGTTGCATGTAACAGATTTATTTTTCTCACATAATTACAAGTTCAAAGTTAGGTGGCTTCTGGCATTAATTCAGAAACTCAAAGAGATTTTAAGATGGCATCCTTACAGTTTTTCTTAAATTTCACTCATGATCTGAAGATGGTTTTAACACTCCAAATACCACATCTACATTCATAACAGGCAAAGATGGAGGGATATCCTAGAGCTTACAAGAACACAGAAGCTTTCCTGCAGTCCCCCAAAAGACTCCCTGTTACATGTTGTTAGTTAGAACTGTGTTCCATGGCTACCTGTAGTAGAGAAATATTTGAGACTTTGTGGAACAGGACTGTCATGGTTGGGTTCAATTCCTCTTGATCTATTGCCTGGAGCTGGGCATATCGTCATCCTAAATAAAATTGGGATTATTAGGCAAGGAATAGAGAATCAGAGTATCAGTGTAGTCCTATAGGGAGATACACTTATGTAGTTCTTTATTATGTTTCCTTAAACACTTTCTGCCTCTCATGGGCCTATTCTCATTCCTGGTATTCTAAGGATGTCTGAAGTTGTCTTCTCTATTTATCTATTGGGCTTGGAGAGTGGTTGAGTATTCAACAAAAATGGGATGATTTTACCAGCATACAGGCTGTAAATTTGCTTTCTGCAAGAATATGTGCAAGGCTAAACTAAAATCAAAATGGATCAAGATATAAAAACAGAAACACTTAATCTACTGGAAGACAGAATAAGTAAAACTCTTGAAGACATAGGTGTAGGCAAAAACTTTATGAACAAAACTCTGATCAGACAGGAAATATTACAAAGAGTCAACAACTGGGATCACATCAAATTAAAAAAGCATTTGCACAGCAAAATAAAACAATAGAGTGAAGAGACAACCCACAGAATGGGAAAAAATTTTATCAACTACTCCTCAAACAAAGGACTGATATCTAGATATATAAAGAACTAAAAACAAAACAAAACAAAAAACCCAGCAATAGACCTCCCATCCTCAATTCAAAGACCTAATTCCAAAATGGGATCTGAAATGAATAGACATTTCTCAAATGAAAAAGTGCAAACAGCAAATAAATATAGCAAAAAATGTTCAATATCACTGATCATTTGAGAAATGCAAATTAAAACAACACGGAGATTCTATCTCACTCCAGAAAGAATGTTTCATCATCAAGAAATCAACCAATAACAAATGCTGGCAGGGCTGTGGGGGAAAAAGGAACCCTTCCCCATTGTGGATGGAAATGTAAACTGGTACAACTACTGTGGAAATCAGTTTGGAGAGTCTTCAAAAAAATAAAACTAGAGATTTCCTTTGTCCCAGGCATTCCCCTTCTAGGCGTCTTCCTGAAAAAGTTAAAAGCTTCATATCACAGTGAAACTTGTATAACCACCTTTATAGCAGCACCATTTATAAGATAAGAGCTAAATCTTGGGCATACCTCATATGCTATCAACAAATGTATAAAGAAAATATATTTGTACACGATGAAGTACTACTCTGCCATAAAAAAGGATAGATTTGAGTCATTTGCAGGTAAATGGATGCAAGTTGAGACCATAATTTTAAGTGAAAGAAATAAGACATGCAAGTTTAAATATAACACTGTTTCTCTTGTGTGAGAAATCCTAAGGATAAACAAGGAGCAAAATGGAGCATAGATATTGGGAAAGTAGGAAGAACATGTTCAAATGGGAAGGGGAACAAGGGAGGGGGAAGAGGGGAGGAAGGAAGGGAAAAGGGATTACAAAGCAAAGAATGGAAGAAAAAAAAATGGAAACAAAGCTTCCATGAATTGGAAGGGAAAGAGGGTTGAAGGAGGGTAGGGGAATGAGGAGAAAAACAAGAAGAATTAAGATATATTATGTTCAGGTACAGATTCCCTATGATGAATATGAGCTCCATACATGGCAAATATGTACTAATGAGAAATGTTTCAAAGTACAACCCCCCCCAGTAGTATGTGCAAGGGCGGGCTGGATAGACCTTGGCCACGTGTTGGTTCAGTCTGGTTAGGGTAGGGTAGAGGAAGCAGAGTGGGCACTTCCTGTCAGGCTGCAAGCAGAGTGAGCAGGATTGTAGGCGCTGTGTCTTTAAGGCTCTAAGATCATGCTGTTCATGATATGTTTCTTAATTACATCCTTTACATGTTGAAATCACTCTCTTTTTCTTGCCCTTTAGGGGGAAAAAAAGCCATGTTTCCAAAAAGCATCTCATCAATGATTCAGTCAAAGAAATACCATTAAGGAGAAGACAAATAGAAAAAAAATTTCCCCAATGTTATATTGGGGCAGATTTCAACAGTTCATTTGTATTTCAAAATGTGAATATAAATTAAAAGGCTAAATAATTGAAAGATAAAAATAGTACTTATTTGACATTAAAGTCAGTGAATCGATCACATTTGCAGAACATAGAGAGTAAAAAGTGCTAATTTATGGCTAAGTAATTAAACAGGGAGACAGATGGAGAATCAAATGAGTTTTCTTCACATCCGAATTTGCATACTGTTGCTGATGGAGCACACGCCCATTGCTCTGCACGGTGTCCTCCAGCATGGGAAGCACACGGAGAGCTATTTATGTCAATGTCGCTCTAGCTTCCCCCAGAAAGGAAAAGGAGAAATACACGGAGTCATAGACTTGGATAAATACAGTCCTCAGTGAGATGTTGTCTCTTATTCCTCTTTCATTCATCTTTTTGTATCCATTTCATAACTGGAAGAGGCAATTGTCAAGCATTGAAATTCTATGCTACGCATATAGCAGAAAACACTGATGGTCTAGGAGTCAGGAGACCATCTAATTCCAGCTTTCTCAGGAACCGGTGGAGTGACACCAGCAAAACTCTTCTTTCTAGTTCTCAGTTGCTTCATTTGCCCCAAGAGTCTAATGTTGCCTAGATTAATTTAAGGCAATATGGCGGGATGGAGGAAGCAGAAAGCCAGGGCTCTGCTTTGGATTTGGATTGAACACCTACTGGCTGATCTTGGATAAGTTAGTTTAACCTCTCTCTGTTGTTAACAACTGGGTAATCATTTCAAGGGAGGCCCTTACACTAGTGCCTGGCATATAATAGGCACTTCTCAAATGTTAGATGTTTCTTCTGTGATTCCTTTCTGTACTAAGTTGGATCCCAAACACTGCAGCACCAACAAAAATGAATGTGTGAATGAATAAATAAGTAATAGTAATATGGCCCATTCTGGTCTCCTGGTTTTCTCCAAGAGCACCAAGCAAAATTTCCTGAGCCAAATAGGTACTAAAAAAAAAAAAAAAAAAATCAAGTTTTACAGTCAGCAAATTGCACACTAAAAACAAGAAAAGCTCATGGAAAGAACAGGGTTAGGAACAGTTTTCTCAGTGCCTTAGAACTTCATAACAAGAGCACAAGTCATGACAAAGCTAAGAAAACAATTGAACAATTAAAGAAATGCTACTGAAAATAGTTCTTTACTTTCAAAAGGAGATGGTCTGAGCTTCTTTTCTCTATTTCTCATGGTGCTGACGGATGAATGTTTTCTGGTCTGCTGGTTATGGACTGAATGCTTTTGTCTCCCCAAAGGTTCTCTGTTGAAATATAATCCCTAATGCAATGGTCTTGGAGGTGGGACCTTTGGGGAATGATCAGGTCACGGAATGTAGCCCTCATGCAGGGGATTAGAGCCGCCTTATAAAGGGACCCCAGAGAGCTCCCCATTTCTCCCTCTCTTTCTGCCATGGGAGTATGGAATGAGAATTCAGCTGTCTGCAGCCTGGAAGAGGGTACTCAGCGGAACCTGGCCATGCGGGTCCTATGATCTCAGACTGTGAGACGTCATTTCTGTTGCTCACAAGCCAGCCGGTCCGTGGTATTTTGTTAGGGTAGCCTGAGCTGACTGCCTTATTGGACAGGATGGCTCCACCCCCAGGTTCAGTTCTTCCCTCTTTATCTCACCCAAGACCTCAGCAACGAACTTCACGCGAACACCGGAGCCCAAGTTTCTCGGTGATGTGGACCAGCAGTCACTCCCTGTGGCATCTGCACCGTCTTCAGTTGTCTCTTCTGTGTGGCCACTGGGATTTTCTCTTTCTTTCTTGCACACTGAACCCTACATTTTAACAGGATTTAAAAGAAACTTTACATGTAAGGCAAAGTACCAGGAACTTTATTGAGGAAGGTTTTTGACATTCTCTCTTGTCGTTGTTGCTGCCATCTTGTCAGCAGTATTGCCTCGCCCCCATTATTAGTTTTTAAAAGCCTTTTGCTAAGAGAGCCCTGCTACTGGAATAGGATGAGCATGAAGCTTATTATGTTCAGCCAATCACACTTAAGAGCAGAGGGGCGAAGGAGAAGGACTTAGTGAGGAGAGAAAGTCTGTGTACATTGAAAATACAAGTTTGTGCCGGCTCTCCGGGGCTTGTCAGTTTCTTAGCATCTTCTCCAACATACAGTCTAGACACAGGGGCCAAGTGATTGCTTTAGGACAAGTTACCCAGTACGTGAATTTCCCAGTACGTGAACTGCCTTTGTCCTCTTCTTTGTTTATCAGCACCTCGACAGTTGGCTGGATCATGGAAAGACATGGTGGAGAATGCTTCACAAAGCTAATCGCAATCATTAACATCTCAGACGGAACAGTGAGTGGAAAGATACAGGAACTGGCGGAATAAAAGTCTGAATGTTTACAATCTCCGGCGTTGTTCTTTCTCTTGCTCTATACATACAAATTTGACAACTGCATCTGAAACCTACAGGGACCATCTGGTCACTAAAGGGAGTTTTAAATTCTCTTCTGTGGATCTCCAGGGTTCCTTATGAAGTCCTCAGTGAATCCTATAGGAAATAATGCATCTGTTTACCTATTCAACAAATATCCACTGAGTACTGGCCACACGTCTGGGTTTAGCATGGTCCTTGGGAGAAAAGGATCTGCAGGCTTTCTGATTTTCAAGCCTTCAACCAGAGCAGCTCTGCTGCTGTCTGTTTTAGAGCTGAGGCATTTTTATCTGCTTGAGGAAAACTTGACATCCTCCGTGACACAGGGAATGCCCTAATTTAAAAGAAGTGTTTATTACGCGAAGCTATTTAGGGGCTGTGATCTAATAGATCCAAATGAGCTATACATCAGCACGTTGATGTGTAACAGGTATGTGTGTTTTTCAGGGTCAGCTACGTGAAGCTGCTGTAACAAACGGCCCCCACATCTCACTGAAGCGCAGCGTGAGAGGTGCATCTCCTGCACACTGTTATGGTTTAAGTATCTTTTCCCTTCAAATGTTGTGTTGAAATAAATTTATTTATTTATTTATTTATTTATTTGGTACTGGGGATCGAACTCGGATCCTTGTGCTTGCAAGCAGGTGGCGGAACCACTGAGCTAAATCCCCAGCCCTGTGTTGAAATTTAATTGCCTTTGTAGCAGTGTTACAAGTTGTAGCCTTGCAGAAATGCTGAGGTCACGGGGACTCCACCTTCGCGACTGCATTAATGCATTTACTCCGGGAGTAGATTACGAAAGTGGGTTGTTAGCAGATATGACCCTGTATTGTTTGTTCTTTTAGATGTCTTCATCTGCCCTTCCACCATGGGATGACAGGGCTTAGAGGCCTGCACCAGATGCAGCCCTTGGAAGTGAGCTACACAAATTCCTAATAATTACAAATTCTGTGGTATTCTGTTATGGCTACAGAATGTAGACTAAAACACTGGGGTTTCCAATGTATATTTTCTGTGCCTCCATTTCCTGTATCATCCTACTTTGGACTCGAGCTGACAGAGTCAGCCTCTATCTGGAACATTGCTAGTCCCTGGCAGGAGTAGATGAAGGACATGGTGACTTCTGTTGGCTTTTACAACTTCTGCCTGGAAGGTAGCAAATTACTGCTGTTGACTCCTCATTGGTTAAACAAGTTAAGTGGCTTCCCCCACCCCATGCCATTGGCACAGGCATATATAATCTTTCCACAGGGAAGGACAGCAAATATTTGGAAACAGTAATGAAAGGTGCCACTATACACAGTAAATGTTTGCAATTAAATCTCTCTATACAATAAATCTCCCAATGCATTATCTGTAAACCAAGCTGTCTGATCAGAACTTCATGATTGTGTGCATGTTTGTATTATTGGAAGACCTCAAATAAACTTAAAATAATTTCAAGATTCTTGTTGCCACAACCTTGTTATAACTTCCCCTAGCAGTGTGTAAACAAACACAACATCCACCCCTCAGCCCTTATCTGGTCTGCCTTTTCAAAACGTGTCATAAAATGTTAGAAGGAACATTTCTGGAACTTCTAAGGATTAAGAAGAAACTTGCATCAGCAGAAAGCCAGGCTATAAACCCCCCAGGAGTTGACAAGCTTAGTTCCAGAGCCAGAGTGTATAAAACAGGGCTTTAAAAGTACCCTGGAGCCATTCTATCTAAAACAAATTGTCTGCCAACAGGAAGCCTCAAAGGGGGATGCAGAGGATGAAGGGATGAGATGGATTCCAGCCTCCCATGAGGATTTTCTCAATTGAAACAAGAGCAACTTATAGAATCAAGAGGAAGGAAGAAAGGAAGGGGGGTGGGGAGAGAGAGAGAGAGAGAGAGACTTATTAGAGTAACTGGATTATACATAGGAAAGATGCTTCTTTGTACAAGAATGATTCATAAGTGAAAGCTGTGCTTGGACTTGGCAATGTGGATGACAAACACTATAACACAGGTCATCAAAGCTGAAATATCTGGATATAAATTTTGTCTTTAGGTATGGTTCATATACTATTACCTGAATTCACCCCCCCCACTCCTCTCTCTTGTTTTATTCTCCTGAGTCAGTTGCACCCACCCAGGTTTTCTTCACCAGAACTTTGACTTTTTGATCTGCCTTGCTGAGCTTTCAAACAGCTGTTGAATTCCTATAATAGGAAAAAGTCCCTCTTTGTTACTTCTGTGGTTGCAAAGACAAAATATTGGACACTCAAAGTGGAAGGGGAAATAAGGTTTCTTTGGCACACAGACTTTAAGAGGTTTCAGCTCCTATTTGGCTGGCTCCAAGGCAGGGTGGCGTGGCAGAGTGGCATCGCAGAGCAGAAGGCAAACAGTGGCAGCAAAAAGCAGATCGTGGCCAGGGACAAGGGACAGCAGCAGCCCTTTCTGTCCCTTAGATTCTAATCCAGACTACCAGCCCTTAGGGTGAGTAGCACTCACACCCTTAATCCTAGCACTGCACGGTGGGTGAATCAATCCCAGCGTCATGTCTGTGATCCCAGCATGATGCAGCCTGGATCCAGCCACCTCCAAAAAGCCCCATATGAGGCTTTGATGGGGGACACCAGACACAAGCTATACAGCCAAGTCTTAGCTGCTGGCCTGGACTGTGTGGCTTTCTCCTCTGCAGCTGATGGGGCCTCTGTGAGCTCCCCGCAGGTCTTCTGGTCCATAACCTGCATGGTTCACTGCTGGCAGTCAGCTACCCCATCATCCCTCTGTGGGGTGTCAGCAGATAGCAGAACTCAGCCAGCTTCTCTCCCCATAGACTCCCCTCCCCTCTGATTTTCAAACACACTTCACTGCACCTGCCACTGCATTCCTCCCCACTGGACACTTCCCCACCCCTGGTGATCTTTAGCAGTTGAGCCGTTACTGGTGACAGGGGTTATCCTGGTCCCACCTTCCAGCCCAGCCATTCCCTCTTTGTCCAGCAGACTGTAGATAAAGGAATCACAGCTTCCTGTCTCTTCCTGGGTTGCCTGACCTCTCTCATTAGTATGTAAGCTTCTGAATCCTCCACGAAGCAGACACTGAAATGGGATCAAGCATGTGGAGATTTTATTAGGGCCAACGATTGTGAGCAAGTGTAGAGGGCCTGGAAAATGGCAGAGAGTGGTCAGACTTTGCAAGAAGGAGGGAGGAGAGGTTGGATGGCAGTGACCTTGATCCCTATACAGGCTAAAGGAGGTCTGGATGCCAGGTAATCCCGAGCCAGTGTTGGGGGCTAGAGGGGCCCCATCTCCAGGCAGGACCTGCCATGTAATTGGCAGGGTCCAGGGACAAGTAAATATTCAGGGCCGCTTGTTTAAAAATTACTAAGCATTGAGAGATGGCGGTAACCAAACGAGCATTAAATAGAGCACAGGTCCTTCTGAGCTCGGGCTGTGTGACTGCAGGGCCCCATGGCCGTGTGAGCTGCTTCAGGACCCCATTGTGTCAAGTCACTGCCTGGGGCCACCTGTGGGAGGTGTGATCCGGATTTTAGCGCCCAGCAGCCGGGCTGCAGACAATTATGCTTTCTGTGGTTGGAGGCCTGTGTGGCACATTCTCATGACCCCCGCAGATGGAGAAGTACATTCGTTTTTGTGGTTTTTGCTTTTTCCCTCTTAAGAAAGCTGAGACTAAACACGTTTTCTTGAATTCCCAAGCTCACACTTTACAAATGTTCTGGGGTTTTAAGCATGGCGGAATCTATCTGTATTAATGCTATGAAGTAGAGATTACTTTAACTTTCCCCTTCAGCTGGTGACCCTATGTACCGTTATCACTTACCGAAGGGCTGGTCTCTTCCCTTCCGGTTTAAATGCCCATGTGCTGAACAGGAGCTTCCCCTAGACATACGCATGGCAGAGAGTGAGAAAGGAGCCATTTGGGCCTCGTTTCAGCTGGGTCCCCAAGGTAGTGGGTGCCATGGCTCGTGTTCCACACGGAAACATCACGAGGGGCTGAGAAAGGGGGCGTCTCGAGGTGTTTCTCCGCCCTAAATGTAGGGTGCAATAAAACTAGGATCGGAGTTATAGAAAGTCCTTTTTCTTTCCTGCTTCCCTCCATCCCCCTTTCCTAATAGCCTACCCTTCTTAACTTCCATTTTTCCCTTCCTTTCTTCCCCCTCTCCCTCCCTCCCTTCCTTGCTTCCTCCTCCTTCCTCCCTTCCTTCTTTCCTTCCTTTCTTCCCCTTTCAGTACTAGGGATTGAATCCAGGGAGAACTGAGCTACTTCCCCAGCCGTTTTACTCGTTCATTTTGGTACAAGTTCTTGCTAAATTGCTCAGGTTGGCCTCAAATTTGTGATCTTCCTGCCTCAGCCTCGGGCATATCTAGGATTTGAGGTATATGCCGCTGAGCCTGACATAGAGAAGGGAGTTTCCTTAGAACGAGACATAGGGACTAGTTGGTGGCTGTTTGCGCTTGCTCCTAGGACTAGGGAAAGAAGGTCGCATGAGACTGCCCAGCGAGCTGGCCATGCCCTTCACCCAGTGGGGAATGCTGTTGCTTGGCTTTTGACTTATGCCAGAAAAAGCTTAAGCTCAAGAGTCTGTGCATGGCTTCTTGCTCTGCACAGCAAGGGGAGTGGACTGTGGCCCCGTGTGTTTCCCCTGTCCCCCTCCAGCTGTGCCCTCAACACTCTCCACCTGCTCTGAGACTCACAGACGCTTACTTCACAAGGCCAGCCTGGCTTCCTGTCCCTTTGCCTTTCGCCATTGGTAGGTTCCAGCCAGAGCGGAGGGCGGACAAAAAGAGAGGTTGGAGCTCTCTGGTGCTATGTGAAGATATGGAGAGAAAGTCCCTACTGGGTGCCATTTGTGCGATTGATGCTGTTCTTGGCCACCGTCTGCACTGCACTTGGAAACTCTCCTTCCTCTCTCTTCCGGGCTCAGAGCGTGAGGTGCTCTTTGCTTTTCC